GTGTAGTGTGGGATCATTTTGAGGTGGAAGATGATCCCAAGTATGCTAGCTATTTGCACTGCCAATGCAAGATCTGTCAGGGCAAGGACAAGAAACACTTCAGCATCATGGGGATGCTGATGCATTTCAGGAGGCACCACCCCATTGCCCTTGGTCCTCCTCAGCCTGGCACCGGTGAGAGTGTGCCCAAATGGAAGTTCCCCTCCAAAGCCCCCATCCCCCAGAAGCAGAGGCAGGCAACCATGGACCAGTGGAGGAAAGGCAGAGGTAAAGAGGGTACATTCCCAAGGCGAGCGAGGTCACCCAGGGCACTGGGGAGATGCTTGCTCTGGATGGCCAGCCCTTCTCCTTAGTTGAGCAGCCAGGGTTCAGGCAGCTCATGACACTCATGGCCCCATCATATCATGGCCCCATCACTGCATGCATCACCCTCAGCAGGAAATTGGGGCCCTCCCTGTATGAGCCATGCAGGGGGTACTTGAGGGAGGAGCTGCGCAAGGCAGGTCCACAGGTGGCCTTACACTTCACCTTGGAAATCTGGGGTGGAGATTATGCCTACTTCTCCCTCACAGGGCACTGGTGCCACCAGTCAGGACATTGATGGTCTCTCCTTCAAGCTGAGGTGATGGATGAGTCCTACATGGCAACAGAGATCATGGGGACCATGAACTGCATGGTGCAGAGGTAGCTTATTGGGCAGGGCAAGCTCGCCCACAGGTTCATGGTGACCAACAACAGGGCCAATATGGTCAAGGTGGTCTGTGATGCCAACTTTGTTGGCATCCACTGTGTGGCACACAAGTTCCACCTTATAGTCAGGGACACCTTGGAGGGAACAGGACTGCCAGTGAGTGTGCCATCACAACCCACCAGCTCATTTCAAAATGCAGGAAGGTGGCGGGCTACTTCTGCTGGAGCATCAAGAGGAGCAAGATGCTGTGGGACAAACAGGCTGAGCATCTCACAGCACAAAATCATGCAGGATGTGGAGACTCAGTGGAACTCCACATATCTGATGCTGGAAAGACTGGTTGAGCAACAGAAGGCCATCCATGAGATGACCTTGCTTGAGGAGATTGGGATCAGTGGCCCCCTTAACAGAACAGTGTTCCTTGAGGCCACCGAGAGCCTCAGTGCTGGTGATGCCCTCTTTATCCAGGTGATCACCATAGTGAAGGAGCTTCAGAACCAAATGGAGAAGTTACAGGGGATCAATGTTCCTGGCTGGGGCAAGCCATTTTCAGCAGAGGAGCAGATACTGGTGAAGCAGCTGAAGGAGGGCAGCAAGAAACGCTTGGATCTGTTGCAGCGTGACCCAAGGGTGAAGGGGAGTGTCTGCAGCGGTAAAACCCTGGATCACTGGGTGGAGGTGCTGGTGAACAGAGTCAGGGAGGCAGAATGGTGGAGGCAGGGGGAAGTGGAAGATGGGGATCCACTTTCCCGTGCTGGCGTCCAGACCTCAGCATCAGGCAGGCAGTGCCAAGGCCTTGGTGGCTACCTAGCTCACCGAGGACATGGAACCGCTGCTCTGTGACCCCTTGGCCTACTGGGTAAGCCGCAGCCAGATGTGGCAGTATCTGGCCACAGATGCCCAGGGACACCTGTCCTATCCACTAACCAGTGTTCCAAGCAAGAAAGTGTTCAGCATTGCTGAGGATATTGTGACACCCCACCGCACCTCCTTGGATCCTGGTTTGGTGGAACAGTTGGTGGTTCACAGACAAGCCTATGAACTTCACCTCATCAACCTCCTGGATACAAAAACCCATGGATTCAATCTAGACATTGGATTTATGACATGCTATAACTTACCTGACATCTGACACCCCAGGTACCTCTCCACTTTTACCTGCTACATCCCCCACTTCACCCCCACCTGTCCCTCACCCTCTTACATCTCAATTTACATTTTTATTGACTGGCTTTCTTGCCTGCATTGCATGCCAGCCTTTGGCTTCTTCACTCTTCATTCTATCCAGGGAGAGCACATACATGCCAACTAGATGCTTCCTGAGCCTGGCGAAGGGTTTTTAAACCCAAAAGGCCTGCTAACATATATTTCTCCAACTATTCAGTTGGTCTAATAAAAGATATCAGAGGTGCCCTCAATTGTGCTGGGGCCAGGACACACAGCAAGGTCAGAGGACCAGAGGCCCACCATGAGGAATGCACAGAGCAAGAGGCTCAGGATTCCTACTAGCTATTCCTACTAGCCTGAATGGGGAGATCCAAAGGTCCCAGAGAAGGGACCACAGCTGGAGGGGGGGAAGGATGCAATGTGCAAGGCATGGGCTACAGTGTTAGGGGAGGTATGTAGCTGTGGAATGGATGTCACCCCAAGACACCTAAATGGGCAGCCACCCACCTGGGAAACATCTGAATCAGTTTTCCATTGAGGCATGACAGGCAAAAGAGGGGCAGGCAGTTGGCCCAGAAAAAAATGGGCAAGTGAAGATCTAACCAGCACTGGGAAGGTGCCCATCCCTGCTGGTTTGACCCCCTGTGCCTTAACATGTGCACAAAGTCACATGTGTCATGAGTTTTGATTTGAACAGTTAGAGGTGCAGTTTCACTGAAACCACTATACCTATCTCCTTGAAACCTAGCAGGCTTTATGCCTTCAGATGGGGCTATCATCCCTGCAACTTTTATCTGAATCAGGCAAGAAATGACAAAGTTATATGCATTTTAGTGATTCCACATTATAGCCTATGGCCAAATTACTGTAACAGTGTCAAAACTCCAAAACAGATTCAGCCAAAATCAAAATTGAATTGAAAAGGAACAGAGCTGTGTGGCTAGGTGGTAGGTGGGACCCCTGGTTGGCTGGGCTGACTGGGCACAATTTATAACCATGGTCAGGGTCTAAATATGCATTTAATAACAGTAAATTACCTCGATGTAAGATAGTACTGTCTCTGACAATACTATATACTGGTGTAAATAAGTTTACTGCAGCCTAATACCACTGCACTTGTAGATGGTGACAGTTTACTATGCAGCTACTTAGTTTACTCTGCAGTAAAGCACATGTATAGATGTGGCCTGTAATGCCTGACTTTTTCGATTTATATCCATTCTAAGTCATATAGGCACTTTGGAAATTCTATCCCTTAAGTCCAACTCTCCAAAATACAAAAAAAAAAAA